CAGGGTGGGCCCCCTTGACTGCTGCCCACTTCGGCAGGAGCAGGCTGTTCTGTACTGTGATCTAACCGCACCTGAAGATCACATTCCATTGCCTCATGAGCCATATCTGGGGAAATAATATTTGTACGAACTATTAGTAAAATAGACAAACATATGTAGCTGATAAAAACCACACCTACGCTTTCAGAGTTTAAGATAATTACCCTTATCAATAGCTAAAGCTAAGTTTACAGAAAAGACTAGTTTTAGTAATCATTAAACATCCCCCCCGTAACAAGCATAATCTGTTTTCCAGTCCACCTTTTGAAAACATGAAGAAGCCCTGGCCCAGCTGTGGTGCTGCAAGTAGGAGGGTGCTGTGTGAGGGCTGAGGCTGCCAGGGAGGTCCAAGTTCGGTTTCTGGCATAACTAAACAAACTGGGCATGGTGGCATGTGCCCATGGTCCCAGCTAGCTGGGAAGATGAATCAAGATGTGGAGAGAGGGACCAGCAGTTAGCATAATGGCTATGTCGCTGAACTCCCATGTAATCGACCGTAGTTTGAGTCCTGGACCCAGTGGCTTAAACTCACGCTGCGCACATGTGTGTGCGTGCCCAAGTTCCCAAGAAGAGAATGGAGAAGGGATTGCGGTGTGGCCATCCCCCCTGGGGGGTGATTTCTTGCTTTCTGTCTCTCTCTGTCTTTCTGGTGAGCACACGTACCCTATAGCAAAAACCTCTCCAAAAAAAAAAAAAAAAAAAAAGATATGGGATGACGTCGTCCATTTTTTTTCCTCCGGTGCTGTCCATCTCTTTGCCTCCTGTGCTGCACCTCCCTTCTCTCTCATTAAAAAAAAAAAAAAAAAAATCAGGAACCAGCAGATGGCATGATGGCTATGTCACTGGACTCCCATGTAGTCGACAGTGGTTCAAGTCTTGGACCCGGTGGCTTAAACTTCACATAAGGGGTGTGTGTGTTTGTGTGTGTGTGTGTGTGTGTGTGTGTATGTGTAATTGCCCAAACTCCCAACGAAAATGGAGAAGGGACTGTGACATGGCCATCCCCCAGGTGGTGACTTCTCACTCTGTGTCTCTCCAGCAAGTGTACCCTAAATCTCTCTCTAAAACCAAACCAAACCAAACCAAAACATAAACCATGAAGTCCTGTGATGATAGTTACATGTTCCAAAACAGAAAGGCCTTTAAGGTGACTGAACTAACTATAAGGTCTGAAAGTAATCTCCCAGACACCTTGTAGCTCTTGGTTTGGACCCAAGTATGTAATTTACTGAAAACAAATGTACATAATTTTATATCTAATTTAAGTAGGCAATATCATCTTTCATGGCACCAAAAGTTACAAAACAGAGAAAGGACATTTTTATATTTGCAAAAATAACTCAAATACAAATGTACATAATTTCTCCAAAAAACCTGAGCAGTCTTTATTAACCCTGTATCTTTAATTACTCTTGTTTTACACCTGTAATTCCATTATAGTAGTCCACTCAACAAATACTAAGCACCTGTTATGTAATCAGGCACCCCAGAGGCAAATACAGAAAAGAACTTCAAGTAAGCAAGTTTATATTCTAGGATAAGCCAATAAATAAAATCACAGACTGACATTTAGTTTGGGGAGTAAGGGGAGAGACAAAGATACAACTGAGAGGTAAGGGTTCTGAGAGTGAAATCTGAGCTAAGGTATGAAGGATGGCTATCTGTAAATATTGTTAGCAATAAAAGCCCACCAGTGAAAAGGCTCAGTTATTCACACAGAACTCCCAATCAGCTTTCTAGGGCTCCTCTCACCCCTAAAAAGTGAACAAACATGCCCAGCCTCAGTGGTACAGGTGGTAGCATACGACTGCAGTGCTGGAAGCCGCATGGCTAACTGTGGGCTCAGATTCCCAGTTGATGTGAAACATACCACATGCACACACCCAAGATTTAGATGAGCCAGAAGGCTGGGAAAAGGGGCTGGTGATGTTGACAAGACCCTGCTAAGTGTGCCTGATACACTCTTAGTAAATAAACCTAAAGAACAAATAGTCATAAATCAAACGACATTTGAGAAAAGCCTCCAATATAACAAAAAGAGACCAAAGAGGGCCAGCCGATGGCATGAAGCTTAAGGCAGCTAGGTTCTACACGGCTGACTTCTTGGTTCCAGTCCAGACCCAGCGTCTTAAAAAAAAAATCACACCAGGTGCATATGCATGAGTGCCCAAAATCCTAAGAGGAGAATGGAGAAGGGATTGTGGTATGGTTATTCCCCCTCGGGGGTGATTTCTCACCCTATCCCTCTCTCTGGTGAGTGCATTCAGTCTATAAAACAAGAGACCAAAGCAGACAGTGGAGGAAAGAAAGACTGTAAAAAACATTTTCCAAACTTGTAAACCAAACCAGTTAAAAATCCTCAGGTTTTTGAGTACAGACATTGTATCTATAAAACAAGCAAACCCCCCAAAAAAATAGTATGGGAAAAAAGGATAAATCAGAAACGAAGAAACAGGTCTTACAATAAAAGATACTCAAAATTTAAAAAAATATATATATTATTTCTCTAAAAAGGTTTTTGCTATAAAGTGCATGTGCTCACTGGAGAGAGAGACAGAGAGGGAAAGTGAGAAATCACCTCTTGCTCACTCACCGGGGTGGGGGGAGGAATAGCCACACTGCAATCCCTTTTCCTCCAATTTCTTCCTGGGATTTTGGGCATGCATATACACATGTCCAGTATGATTTTTAAGGGGGCAGGGTCATGATTTGAACAGCAGGCAGCCATGTGAGAGTCCAGTGCCTTAACCACCACAGCACTTGCCAGTCTCCCCAAATAAAAAATTTAACAGAGGACTGTAAGATAGAGTTGAAGAACCCTTCCAGAACGGAGAATAAGAACAGCTAAATACAAGAATGAAAAATTAGAAATTAAGCTAGTATGTCTGATAATTGAAATACTAAGGCAGAACTAACTCAGAAAGTGGAGGGGAAGGAAGAAAAGCAAAATCTATGGTCAAATGAAACCATAGGCCCACCTATGGTGATGCCGGTGGGGTACTGTACTGATCTGCAGTGCTGGAAGCTACATGGCCAACAGCAGGTCCAGCAGATGGTATGGTGGTTACGGACGCTGGACTCTCACATGGCTGACTGCAGTCTGAGTCCCAGACCTGGAGGCTTGCTTTCTTTCTCTCTCTCTGGTCAAATTAAAATAAATAAAGTTAAATAAAATAATTCTTTAAAAAAAAGTTAAATAATTAAGTTCATGGCATGTGCTAAATGACCATCCTCTACACAGTTTGAAAAGAAAATAAAACAAAAAAACCAATGAAACTAATAACTAAGAACATAGCAAATGCTATTATTATTATTTGGAGGTTTTTGATATAGGGCACGTGCACTAGCCAGAAAGAGAGACAGACAAAAAGTGAGAAATCACCCCTCAGGGGGGATGGCCACGCTACAATCCCTTCTCCTCCAGGGATCTTGGGCACATACACGCGCCCAGCGTGAGTTTAAGCCACCAGGTCTGGGGCAAGAATTGTGGTTGACCACATGGGAGTCCAGTGACATAGCCATTATGCTGCCTGCTGGTCCCACCTATACTTTAGTGATATACTATTCATGTCACTAAAATTTGTTGGATTACAGCGCTACAGAAGAACTTGCCAATTTAAATGTAGTATCCAAGGGAATAATAGTAATAAATGTAATAGATTCTTCACTACCTAAGAGAACACAAAAACTTTTAATGTGTTCTAGTGTAAGACAACAGCTTTCCAAGAATTACATCAGAACATAAGGCCCAACCTACTTCTACAAGTAGTCCAGAGACGATACAGCAAATCAGCCTTCCAAAAGTCAGGAATGGACCAAAAAAGTAGAATCTAGAGAGGAGCACTGTCCACTCTCATAGTCACTACTCACTCTCAAGAGGACACTTATATTAAAATTAGAAGGGACCAGCAGATGAAGTAGTGGTTATATCGCTGGACTCCCAGATTGCTGACCACAGTTTGAGTCTTAGACTCAGCAGTTGTAAACATGCTGGGCATGCACGTGTGTGCCCAAAATCCAGAGAAAATGAACTGCAGTATGGCCATCCCAGAGGAGGTGATTTCTTTTTTTTTTTTTGGAGAGGTTTTCGCTATAGGGCGCGTGCGCTCGTCAGACAGACAGAGAGAGACATAGAGACAGAAAGCGAGAAATCACCCCCCAGGGGGGATGGTCAT